AGCACTATATGATAAATGAGGCAGTTCACTCAAACATAGCATAAATATCTAGTTTTTTATAGGGGGCACGGGTGGCCCAGTCGTCTAAGGCGTTGATTCGCTGTGCAGAGTTGCATCCCTTGGGCACGCCAGAAACCTATGATTGTGTGTTTGAATCCCAGTTTGCCGCGATTATGTTTCTAGGTTTGTCAGCACCATACCCGTGCTCGTGGGTTTCAACAAAGTGGTAAACGTCTGAGAGCGGCATTACTTCGGGCTTTCCTCCCACATTAAGCTGACACTTTGGATATAATTGGAATACTGTTAAAGCGGCGTTAAACCCAACAAACTCACTCACTCACTGTTTCTTATATATATATATATATATATATATATATATATATATATATATATATATATATATATAAATATATATATAAATATATATATATATAAAGTTACTTCTTTGACTAAAAATACATCTTAAACATCAATTATTGTTAAAACATTCTGCAACATTATCTACTAGTCCATAGCCCAAGTCATGTAACATTTCTTTTGGTCCAGTAATATTTCCCCAAAACATCCATACATTTACACTAAGATCTGCTGAAAACGATGTCAAAAGACAGGTTGAGGGTGGTAGACAAACGTTTTTGGAACAGACTGTTAAAATGATATTTGAGAGAGACTTTAAAGCCCCGCGTTCTCGTAAAGTAAATATCATGTAGGAATTAACAATAAATATAAAGGCTTGCATAATATAAACTTTATTCCTAACAAAAAAAATCATATTAACAACATTGAAACACACCAGCTAATAATCTTTTCAAAATATGTCCGTCAAAATCAATGACACGGTTGATTGATGACAAGGCAATGGATGTCAGACACAGTCCTAATTACGTGATGAGTAATGAACAGAAAATAATGTAGGCGTGAATACGCAGATGTAACTGATAGTGAGGTTCCGGACAGGAACATCTCAACACTGACTATTGTTGATTACGCACAAGCTGTCTATCAGTTTGTACTCATCAATAACGATACATCTCAACACTGACTATTGTTGATTACGCACTAGCTGTCTATCAGTTTGTACTCATCAATAACGATACATCTCAACACTGACTATTGTTGATTACGCACTAGCTGTCTATCAGTTTGTACTCATCAATAACGATACATCTCAACACTGACTATTGTTGATTACGCACTAGCTGTCTATCAGTTTGTACTCATCAATAACGATACATCTCAACACTGACTATTGTTGATTACGCACTAGCTGTCTATCAGTTTGTACTCATCAATAACGATACATCTCAACACTGACTATTGTTGATTACGCACAAGCTGTCTATCAGTTTGTACTCATCAATAACGATACATCTCAACACTGACTATTGTTGATTACGCACTAGCTGTCTATCAGTTTGTACTCATCAATAACGATACATCTCAACACTGACTATTGTTGATTACGCACTAGCTGTCTATCAGTGAGTACTCATCAATAAAGATAACAGTTTATGGACATTACCGCAGACTCGTTATCAGGCCTCCTATCTATTTGAATGAAAAGCATTATCGGAATTAATGTAAGCAATATCGTGTGAATAGCTACCAAGTGTGAAGGAATGGTTTCAAATACGATATGAATGCAGTAACTATCTTTGCAACAGCGATGGAATTGGCCGCTCAGCCGCTGTTGGAACCGACAGCATCGGTAACCAAACACCACCAAACTACAACACTTACTGTTGCCACAGCGTGCAAAACATATCTGTCAGTAGCAGGGGCGGTCGGGTAGCCTAGTGGTTAAAGCGTTTGCTCGTCACACCGAAGACCCGGGTTCAATTCCCGACATGGGTACAATTTGTGAAGCCCATTTCTGGTGTCCCCCGCCGTGATATTGCTGGAATATTGCTAAAGCGGCGTAAAACCATACTCACTCACTCACTCACTGTCAGTAGCAAAAGTATTCTGACTAACCAAAAAATTAAACCGCTTGTTGCTTATTTGTTTATTGCCACCATTTATCGCATGCTGTTTTTCTGGAAAAGCAGTTGTCAATTAACTACGATCGGCTTTTGACGGATACATCCGAAGTTAATCTGCTGTATTTGACTGAGTTTCCCATAGCGGCTATGCATGTATTCTGTTAACGACCACTCTCAAATACAATAGTGTTTCTTTTCGTTCACGTGATAAATGCATTTGGTTCCAATACTGAAGCTGTGCTACCAATATATGAGTGAGTGAGTGAGTATGGTTTTACACTGCTTTTAGCAATATTCCAACAATATCAGGGCAGGGGACACCAGAAATGGGCTTCCCACATTGTACCCATGTACAAAAGGCAGGATATTTTTCTTTTCAGTTGTGATTCTGATCTTATAGAGATGAGCTTCAATACCTATACTACTTATAGGCACTTGTGTTGCTTGAATTTGTTTCAGAACAATATGAGAAGTGATATGGGTTGCCCTTTGGAAATTTGTTTCCTTAAGTTTTGAGATAATATCACACAAAGTGGAAAACGTCTCAGACCTGCATCACATCAGGCTTTCCTCTCAAATTAGGCCAACGCACTGTGATGTAACTGCTATTAAACCCAACTCACTCACTCACTCACTCACTCACTCACTCACTCACTCACTCACTCGTCTGCGTGTACTGGTATTAATAAGTGTCCATATGCACAACCTGGCAGACAATGCTCACTCTGTTGAATTGCCACTTGAACATATTCATATGACTTTTCTCATTTTAAGATTTATCTTTTTCTAATTACTTTAAATTGACTTAAATCAATAGTTAATTTTGTATCTAATATTATGTGAATTGGACGTCTTAACCTAATTATATTTAAATCAAAAAGGAATTTATTGCTTTGACCATTTCATGATGCTGATTAGTATCCCCTAAAACATGAAGGTCATGGATGTCCAATCTGTTCCATGAAAGGATTTCATTATATCCTATTAGTGTGTATGCCATAGGATATTTTCCTGATTATGATATGTGAGATGCTTGTTTTTCGAAAATCCTATTGCTTCCACCTTCAAAAAGATGTTAAAAGATTGAACTTGTTGTTACCCTGCCTGGCATTAAGGGGCTAAAACAAGGACTGGTCGGTTCGGAGCGAGTATACTGTGTCTGAGTGGGGTGTTCATGTTAAACTGCGGCATGGTATCTCAGTGAGCTAGCACCATAAAATTGGCATTTGTCTGGACTAGTTCAACCAGCCACACATACGTGCATGACCGTCACGATAAAAAAGCGCAATAATCTTGGACGCGTCTTTGAACCCCATTTTACCTCACATTCAAATCAGAATAGTCCCAAGTAATATTTATGATGATCATATATGGTCAAAATCTATCTGCAACGTTCGCCACCACTTTCCTGAAGCCCCAGTCTTGTACAAAAACCTGTCGGAGCAGTGGAACATTTTTTATGGTAGACAGTTTGGTCTGACATGAATCAGATGTTAGTCAGTTGAAACTAATCTATACATTGAACCTGGTGAACAAGCAAAAGACATTCTTGGAAACATTCAGCATTTACTGTACCAAACATTAAGCTCATCACTGAAATTTAATATTGCTAAATCAATGCACACTTTATGTGTAGAAACATGCTGTGGAACAATGCAATTGTTCTGAAACCGTATTAATATCAAATACTGGCAACCTATTAGGGCTGGGACGAGTCCAAATTTACTAACCGGGTACCCACCCCCCTATTACCTGACCCTACCCGGGTACCCACTGTAGGTCTCAAGAGATAGTACAAACTGTCTGATCGGGAATAGTTTGACCATAGCCCTGGCAAAATGTATTTAGATACACGTATAAAACGATGTGGTCATGCATACATTGAAGTTGACTGAAGTTTTATCACATTTTAAACATATAAGTCAGAAGGAACGTGTTCATAGTCATGAAGAAAAGCGACACATTAAAGACTTGGAGCTGTTGTGTAACCATGTAGTTATAGTGAATTTTTGTCATGAAACAATATATCCAGGTAGTCCTGTGGGTACCCAGGTTCTTCTCAGTACCCACCCGACCAGAGTACCCTAGTTACCCGTCCCAGCCCTACCACCTATGTTTAACTTGAGTAATATGCAGACAAGTCCCTTAATGGTGTACCATTCTGGCTGGTAAACTAATGTCTGCGCCATGGCCATGATTTTTCACTATCACTGCAACATTTACATAACAAATATACACAACTTAACATTCGGTCACCAATTTGTACTGCAGTGACAATGAATTCTAAGGTATTCTTCATTGCTGAGTAAAAATGTTTTAAAAGAACTGCAGAAATATTTTGTGGCATCCGGTCCCCATTGTTTTGCTACTGACTTTTTTACCCTGATTAAGAAGTACCTTAATTTGAAATTAATATTTCACTCATTAAAAAAATATATATTAAAAATATTGAATATGATATTTGTCCTTTAGGGATACTTCTGTGTGTAAATTATCACTTTTACATTACACAAAACCCAATTCATTAAAAGATTATTGGCAGTGTCCATTATAGTAAAAAGGAAATAATTTCCTCTACTATTTGTCTAAAAACTTATTTCTCTGTCAAATATATTCAAAAAATAAATCCAATGCATTATTACTTATCCAAGTATGATTTGACTCTCTCTTCTTCTAATTTCAAAATGCATTGTATGGGACACCTTTAGAGAAAGTCAATAGATATCCTTACATGAGGCTTAAAATAAGTTATATCTGTGAAAAAGAATAATACCAGGTGAAAAAAGCATTTTGAGGCCCAAATTGTTGTTAAACTATATGAGAAAATCAATTTTCTTTTACAATAAACTTTTTTATCTTCACAAGTAGTTTACAAATACCCATTGCAGACTAAAGAACAAACTTCTGAGACATGTTTGTCAGTGAAAGGGCAACTTTTTCACAACATGAAACTAAAATACAATTACAATATTGCTCTGGTACCCAAGGCAGGCCATTTTCCCAGTAGATCATTCTTACCTGAGTGTTGTGGAACTCTCTTGTGACTGAGGTAATTACTCCGGGCCGCTGTGTCCTAGCTTGTCAGTGTGATCGGTCAGTCGTTGAATCGAGGTGGAGCCGTGTGACGGCTTGCTTTTATACCATTGTCGTCGAGCCACTCTGATTAGTCCTCTCGCTTGCCTGGGGTCCGTGACGTCACGGTCGCTTTCCCTCCTCCACCCTCGTAGGAGTTACTTCGAGGATAAGGAAATGGTGTGGGTAAATTTAGACAAAATCCGTGCATCGGTAGAATATTTCACCCAAGCAGATATAATTGAGCATCATCGCTAAGTTTATAAGAGTATCACCATACTGTGGCAGGGTTTAGTTGTAAATTGAATTTGTTTTGCGGAAGTTGGAGACTGACACCGTTTTTTATATACAGTAATGAAAAAATTCTCATTATATCTTTGGATGTTATATCGCTGCAGATATGGTGATCATTATTCAACGGTAAACGCGCAACCAAGATTAATTCAACAATGGCATTATTATTGTCCATGATGTTCAAACTTCAAAAGATGATTTACGAGAGAATACCCTGAGCATCTCTGCTTGAATGCTGGCCTGTAGTGATTAATTAATAAACCTGCTCGTCTAGTTACCATTACCAGTTACGCTAGATTATCTGTCGATTGGCCCAGAGCTTGATGAGATGATGTGGTATGATAATAAAGTGAGCCCAGAGAGACAGACTTACTGGATGCATTTCTCTGCCTCTGGTTTGGTGTGGAGGGATGGGAGCGTGCGCATGTTAAAGTGTCGGTATTGTTAGGTGGTGATTTGAAGCTCGTTGTATCTGCATTCAACCCCATGATTCAACAGAAGAATCTCTTTTTACAGGGCCAGACTTTTTTTTCTTACCTTGATTTAATTTAAAAAAAATTAAATGAGATGTTTTTTTGTTTTTTTGTTTTTTTCTTCAATAAGTTATCTAAATATGTTGCTTTGTTAACAGTTCGTGTTTGCTTGCATCATCGTTTAACCTGTGTAATGTATAGTCTTGTAGTGAAAATTGTTTTATGTACATTCCTGGTGTGTGTACGTGAATATTTTTTTATGGAATTAGAAAACTATACTTTTCAAATTATTATTTTTTTAATCCACTTTTCACTGTTGTTGGTGGAATCCAGAAATGACTTACACAAATTTTGCCCAGGCACTCCATGGCTTTTGCAGTATTTTGATAAATTTCAGTTCAAGTTTGCTGAAAAAGGGTGGAGATATTTATGAGAAAAAGGATTATCCGCCTTGCGTGATTGGGTTTGATTTTACACCAATTTTAGCAATGTCCCAGTTTGTGACACCAGAAATAGGGTTCACACGTACCCATGTGGGGAATCCTAACCGCGGCTTTGCAATCCATGACAAGTGAAAGCTTTAAGAACCTGGCTACCCCACCACAATTCAACATTGTACATGGTCTTCAGTAACCCATGCTTGCTGTAAAAGGCGACTATGCTTGTTGAAAGAGGCGACTAACGGGATCTGGTGGTGAGGCTCGGTGACTTGGTTGAGGCATGTCATGGTATCCCGATTGCGTGGATTGGTGCTCATGATGTCAATCACTGGATTGTTTGGTCCAGACTCGATTATTTACAGGCCACTGTCATATAGCTGGAATATTACTGAGTGCGGCGTTAAACAACAAACAATACAAACAATACATAATGTGAATATATTCATGATGTTGTTCCGAATTAAACATTTGATTTTACTTTTTTTTCAAATTTGAAATTAGGGAGGCAGTCTGCAATATGAGCCCTTATTCCCAACTCCTGAGTCTTGTAAAATGCCTCTAGGTTAAATAAGTTCAACTAATGATAGTACATATATTAAAACTAAAATCTTCTGCAAAAAATGTCAACTATCACCAGGATGGCGGAGTGTGGGGATAGGATGGGGGCACAGGCAGTTGGATAATTTGCGTGTGCTTTCCTTAAATGAACTGAAAAAAAATGAGTTGTTGGTAAGAATAATATTTCTCTTAGTCATTCTCTTATTTCTCTTCTTCAGCATAGCTTGATATCATGCAAAAATGTTATTAATATTATTTCAATGATAAAAAAATGTTCATTTTCTTTCAAGAGTGCTTGCAAATTGTTTTGGCCTGCTCTTATCCTTGTTTAATGTTCTTTCTGTTTTAATATGCACATGTTAAAAATCAAAGTGAGTTGAGGTGATTGTTTTGGTGCTATTGTTTTCAAAAACATCACCACGCGACTGCCTTAAACTTACCCTGTCCCATTCAACCCTTATGGATTCCCCACATGGGTACGTGTGAACCCCATTTCTGGTGTCACTAACTGGGACATTGCTAAAATTGGTGTAAAACTCACTCACTCACTCCAGGGCTGGGCATAATGTTATCACTCCATTACTGCTCCGTAAGATAAGAACACACTCACAATATAAATTGAAGTCGATTGATGAAGACATTTCTGAAATTCAAACACTCCGTTCAAAAACCCACCAATCAAACAGTCACCTTCAAACAGAAACGATTAAGGTGGCAATTTTCAACAAGGATGTCCGTGATTTATTTTTGTGGAGTTTTAATTAAGTTTGTTATAAAACTCACCATTTCCGCTTCCTCAGCGATGCACGGCTAGGTTTCATTGCCGTGCCTACAGACAGTCCAAAGTCTTTAATACAAGATATGTTTGCAAGCATTAGATATCTACCAAGACAATGGGATTTCTCTACTACTTCCTGTTTGCTTCATGAACACCCTGCAAGGAGCCGTATCACTTGCATCGGACTCCATCAAGCCATGCTTTCTTGTTAATTCTCATTAAATTGGATTGTGCATCTACATGCTTATTTTCATTCCGTTGAAGTGAAAAGGTGAAGTTTTATGAGTAACGCCTCTGGGATGACAACTTTGATGATAGGAATCTAATTGGTGTGTGTTAAGGTACTGACTATTTACTATTCTCTGGATGGCCTTGGCCTGGGTTTTTATCCAAAACAATATATTGCTCCCCAAAATTCGTGAAAAAAATATTCATGCTTCAGACAGTTGAGAAAAAAAAGAAATTGCCTGCCACAAAAATTATATTGTTGCAAGATGTATTTCTTGAGAAAAAATCAGGCTTGTAATTTTATATGAAAAAATATCTGGTTTTGTAGCTGTATCTGAAAAAATATCTAACCTCGACATCGTCTGAACATCCAAAAATCAAATGGTCGATCCCTTCACATTAATGCAGGGGTGGTCGGGTAGCCTAGTGGTTAAAGCGTTCGCTCGTCACACTGAAGACCCGGGTTCGATTCCTGACATAGGTACAAAGTGTGAAGCCCATTTCTGGTGTCCCCCGTCGGATGTTGCTGGAATATTGCTAAAAGTGGTGTAAAACGATACTCACTCACTCACTCACTCACATTATTGCAGATGCTCAGCGATAGAAACTAACAGTTTTTGTCCACTAATCCTTATAAAGATAATTTCTACTGGTCCTTATGATACCTTAACTATTGGGGAGTTTGGCAAGGACTACAGGACCAGTGCCAATTTCTACCGCTGATGCTTTGGTTCAATAGGGGGGAAGATTTGGTTGGTTAGAGGAGGTTCAGGGGGAATTGTATCATGTTTTACTTGTTTAGTAGAATCTTGCAGTGTGGCCTCTTCTTTTTCATTTTCTGGTTTTACAGTTTTATTCCAAGCAGTTAGCTTGGGTAAGTCGAAATACCAATAGTTGGAACTAAATACAAATTTGTGCAGTGTGTAATTTGATCAGTGTTCTTCAAGGAGGTACTTTTTGTTTACTTTACAATTCCGTCTAATTATCTTTTTTCTTTTTGTGGCTTTAGTTTAAACTCAAAATTGTAAACAAATAAATAAAGTAGCTTTTAATGTCTGCTAGTCTTGGGACAAGTGAAAATCTACTTGCTGCTTCCTGAAATCTGGTTCTGTTTCAAATGATATTCATTACTAGTCAGAATTGAGCTGTGCATCAGATGGATTGGGGGTGGTTGGGTAGCCTAGTGGTTAAAGTGTTCGTTTGTCACGCTGAAGGCTTGGGTTCGATTCCCCTGATGGGTACAATGTGTGAAGCTCATTTCTGATGTCCCCTTGGTCATCTTATAAGGAGAACTAAGCCTCCTCATGACTAAATACATGCACATGTTACTGTAAGACTGTTGACTAGCCTGCTCTTTATACAGCCAACATTTAGTGTTTCTCTCTAAACTGACCGGGGGGGAAGGGGGGCCCAGTCGTCTAAGACGCCGCGATTCGCTGTGCAGAGTTGCCTCCCTTTGGCATGCCAGAAACCTATGATTGTGGTTTTGAATACCGGTTCGCCCCGATTATGTTTCTAGGTTTGTCAGCACCATACCGAAGTGGTAAACGTCTGAGACCTGCATCACTTCGGTCTTTCCTCCCACATTAAGCTGACACGCCGTGATATAACTGGAATAATTTTAAAAGCGGCGTCTAACCAAACACACTCACTCTAAACTGACTGACCCAAACAAATTGTGCCCCCCAAATAAATTATTGAGCTACAGAAACTTAATTAAAATTTTCATTTTGACAACCCATGCCTACTGGTAAACAAACCCTCTAAACCAGAAGTTTAAAAGAATTTTACCTTGTTCGGAAACTTGAGTGTATAAATGCTGATTGATTTTTTTCCTTCTACATTTTTACATACAGAGGAAAAAAATTATTATGGCCATCAGGTGTTGTATTTGTAAAGATTTCCTTACAAGACATCAGTATTCGACAACATTGTAATTGACCCTTGTAGCTTTACATTATGCTTATTGACCTGTGTAACACTCAAATTTGAACAGTCATCCGTGAGATTTATATTAAGTTACAGGAATACAGGACGTTTAGTTCAAGTCTTTTTCAGTATTCAAAACATGCATGTGTGTTTCAGTGTTTTTATTCAAGGAAGAAATTTGATTTTGTGTTAACACAATCAGCGTTATCGAATTATTTAAAGGCAACATGCTTCATTGGATCATGAAGGGAAAGTAGGGGACAGGTTTAGTCCTGGGTTACGTAAATAGAACGAGGCCCAGCCAGCTGATGTTATAGTTGAGTGATAACTTTGCCTTCCTTCATTCTCCACCGATAATAATTGACTGGTGTGTCATTGCGATCAAACTCTATGAGATAGATTGTGGAAAATTGAATTTCCGTTTCAGACTACTTTGTCTGGGATGCTGTATTGAGAAATCCTGTTTCCCAAAAGGTGAACTTGCAAATGAATTTGAGTTTGACAGAAACGAGATGCAGATTTACAGTTACACAATCTGTAGGAAATCTGGGTCAGCGAGGCTGCAGTCATTGCTGCACCACAGAGATATGGTAATAAAATGTTGATTGGGTGGTCAGTATGGCAGATGGGTGTGGATAATACATTGATTGCATTATGATGCCAATTGCGTGGATCGATGCTCATGATGTCAATCCCTGGATTGTTTGGCCCAGACTCGATTATTTACAGACCGCCATCATATAGCTGGAATATTGCTGAGTGGGTTGTTAAACAAAAAACAGACAAACAAAGCATTATGACTCCAGCTGTTGTTTTTGCCTTTAATTCTGTGTGAGGAATTCACTACCTATTTGAAATGTGCATTAAACCAAAACTACTGATCGTTAGGATTAATATGCAAAATTATAGAGAAATTACATTTTGACAACAAAGTAAAAATCTTACGTCATCTTTATTAACAAAATAGGTACATATTGCCTTCATCTTTACGTTGTACATTCCCACCATCAGTTATTTAGGAAGAAATGCAAAGTTTTATTGTCAAATGCTGGGTAGGCTATCGGACACCGGTTGACATCGCCAGTGGAAGCTGAAAGTGAAACAACTGAAACAATCTTCGGATCTTCGACTCCGTGTATAAGACGACCCCCCTTCTCAACCCCCTCATTTTAGGTATGAAAAACTCGCCTTATACACAGCGATATACGGTATCTTATAGTAGACATATACATTTAAAAACACAATAAATCGTAAAAGGCGCACAAGCTTAGAATGATAACATCCTGTCACGTGACTAATCCATTTTTAATCCATTTATCATACCCTGGTCTAAGTTGTTGAAATAACTCAAATCTGTTGATTCCGGGAATTATAAGAATCTCCAGATTCTCATGATTTTGCCTTTTACATAATTTTCATTTTGATTTCACAATGCTATGAAAATGTGTTCGCCAGTTAATTAAGTGC